TTTTTTTTGTCAAAATTCGGCCTCTGGAGATCATAGGATAAAATTAAGTAAAAAATAGCTGAGGGAGAGTAGGGCCGAATTTTGACGAAAAATACTTTTTGATAAACTATATGTCATTCGATGCAGTTTTTGATACTGATTCCGAATATCAGGTTTATTTTGCTTAAAAATCAAGTTTTGATAGTCAAAATCTCGAAATATGAGCTCATTTCGGCATATAGTTCAAGACATTTCAATAATTCCATAGTCAATAATTGCTGTATGTCCTATAAATTATACTCATAAACCCAATTTTTGATGAGCTTTAGTTTGGTATAAAATACTTTGTAATGTCATTTATACTTTATGCTGTAGAGGGTGCGTAATTATTTTGTTATACCCTGTATTTCTATAAAACAAACCAAAATCATAAAATCTTTTTTTATTCAGCAACGTTTCAATATTATTTAAACATACAGTTTTTATTGATTACAAAATTAATAAATAAACTTCCATAAATCAACTACCCATGACGATAATTCCGATCGTCGCAAACGACGTATTACTGCGTTGATGGTCATCGTAATCCGTCAGTCTGTTTTTCCGCTAGCAAAAGGTCATCATTTCTTTCACTATTTTTATCTTCTTACGAGAAACGATGATATAAAGACGCCGGTTTGCATTGTTGACAACCGCTTACGGCGCCATTTTCTCCAACCCGGATACAAAACTCGAGTACTGTGCAATAAAAAAAGAATATTTGCTTTTGCCTCTATGTAAAGTACGATGACATATGAGAAGGACGAACGCAGACATATTTGTAATCAAAGTAGTTTTCGATGTTCTATTAACAAATGTTTTATTTTGCATCAAAATAAAAACAAAAACCTTGAATATGCTTTTTTTCCATTTCTCCCTAAATAATTTATTACAATTGAAAATAATAGATAGAAAACTTCGAAGTAAGTCTTACACAATAAGCCAATTTATGTCTAATATAATAAATATTAATTTTGATAAAAGATGTAGAGAATTTTTTTTAATCAAATTGTATCCAATATTAAGTATAATAATTACTATTCATTTCCTTTTTTGTCTCATATTTTATTAAACAGAAAATGAGTCAAACTAAAATTAATTTTTTTGTCATTTGTAAACTTTAATACACGGCAACACTTACTAGAAATGGATAAATACTCGTTATATTAAATTCATCGTGTTCTACAGATTCTATGACTCTAATCAATATTTATAGTTTTTATCTGATTATAATTGAATATAGTTAATAAGTTGATGTATAACTAAAAATAATTATTTGATATTAAACAACATACAAAATATGTACTCGTACTTTATCTGAAAGAAATTTTCAAAATATGACATTATAGCGATCTTGATTCTACTTTTGTATGCATATGTTTCTTAATCTTTCAGTCATGAAAAACTTCTTGACTATTATGAGTTTGACATAATTTTTTAAATAAAATAATAAAATATGACGTAAATGATTCCTGTGTTATAAAAATTAATAATGAATCATGAACAAATATATGACAAGAAACTATTATTTTATTTTCGATAAGATAAAGAATAGTTTGTTCAGATTATTCAGACAACGGAAGTAAAAAATTTCATCACTGAAATGCTCTCTTATGTAAAAGTACTTGCATCTTGTCTTATTAAGGATTAAAAACTATTTTTTATGCGATGAAGGAAAATAAATGAAATTCTTTTGCTGATAGTATTTTAGTGCTATCAAAAGCAGATGATTAGTATTATCTTTATCCTGTTATATTTGAATTTTCAAAAGATTCTTTTATTTTTCAAATTTTATGAGATATATCAGGATGAAAAGAAAGATTTTCTACTCTGGATATAATTGTAAGAAAAAAAAAATTTATTTAACACAAAGTGATGATTTCTTTGACTTTGTTGATTCTTTTATTGTTCTCTACTTATATTCAGTTCAAAATATATACCTAGATAATGTAAATATATCGGACTATTCATTTCAAATTGTTAATAGTACTTAGAATATAACAGAAAAAAAGAACATAACTCATTGGTTTTTTTTTTATTAAACGTTTTTTTTCTTTGCAACAAAAACCAAAGACATTAGAAAGCAATAGAACAAAATAGAAATAAAAGGACTAAAAATAAATGATCATCACAATGACCGACTAACTAACATTTTTTGAACTGTCGTTTATATATATACATATACATCTACATATTTATTTATATAGATTGATTATGCTGTTTGTATAATACTCTGTAGATAAGATGATACTTGATATCTATCAAGTTCTTCATATACTTCATGTTGAGTATCACAAATAAGTTCTTGAATAAGTAAACATTTACTAATTAATGTTGAAAAAATATGAACAGCTCGAATATATCCATAAGTTTTCTCGATAAATAACCATAAATGTTTAGCATATTTATTTTGTATATGAAATATTTGTTTATAATTATTTATTGATGGTTCATTTGAATTTGTCGTGATCGAAAGACCTTTAGAAAAAAGAAAGATGACAAGTGCAACTTGCATTATACGTTTATCAATTTGAACAATTGAATGTAAGGCACGTATAATCTTTGTACATCGAACATAATGATCAATACCATATGCTTCACAAATATGAACACCATACAATGGTTTATCATTAGTATTTTCATCATGATAAACATCATGAACTGGATCATATCTATAGAAGAACAAAAACAAAAAAAATAGAAGTAATAATTAAATCTTTTGGGAATTCTTTTCTTTCAGATAACATACTTAAGAGAAGCATTGAAAAAAAATATATAACGTAAATTATTTTTGATTAGATTGATTTTATCGCTTTCACTAAGAATGTCAAAATCATGTAAACTTTTATAAAAGCTTATAAGATGAAGTGCTGTAGTATTTTTTGCATTAATTATTTGATATAAACCAGTAATTTTCCGTGCTAATGGATATGACCAACCATAACCAGTAAGATCCAATTTGATTCTATCATGATAAGCTATAACAACATTGTTTATAATATTATTACATTGATCATATGATTTAGATTTCAATGAAGATTTTTCAATTTTATCAAGAAAATCATTTTGTAAATTTAAATCATGTGTTCTCATAGAATCTTTTGATGATATATGATAATTTGTATTAGATGCTCGAAGTCGTCTATTCTCTTCAATACGATGTTTCTTATGTAATTTTTCTTCTTCGGTTAAAATCCATTCTTTTCGCATACCTATTTGATAAAAAAAAGAAATAAAATTATTAATTAATTGAAACAAAAAAAAAGAAAGAAAGAAATATCGTACCAACAGCAAAACATTTTTTTAATCGACATGATTTACATCTACGCCTTGTTTCATGTGTTATTTCACAAGTTCCATCACGACGACATTTTAATCGATCCTAGATCATCATAATTCATATTATCATTTGTTTAATTAAAATGATTTACCGTATTAAAAAGTGCATTTCTTCGAAAAAATGCTTTACATGATTCACATGATATTGCATCGAAATTGTATCCATGTGCAACAGCACGACAAACTAGAATTATAATTAATTTGATGTCATAAGGGAAAAGGAGAAAAAAAAAACAACATTTAAAAATGTTCCTGAAATGCTCTAGTTTCTTTTTTTATGTTATATTTTATCTATTTACCAAATGAAACGAGAGAACAGAATAAAAGAACCATCATTGTAAGGACGTTTCTTTTTTACGCGATAACCTCACGCATTTATTTTCAGTCTATTTAAATTGCGAATTATATAACTTTAAATAATAGCAAATTAATTCTGTCAATTTTTTGACAGAATAAATTACTCAAAGCTCTTAAGTGATGAATCCGAAAATAAAAGATAAAAATAAATATCTTACCAACGCAAGAAAGATCCGACTTCTTTCGTATTTCACCATTTGATTGTGTTGTTGAACAAGGTATTAAAGTATTAACATTATAGACTTCTTGAGATTTACGATATCGTCGTTTTCGACTAGGAAACACTGATGATGAAGACTATTTTAATGAAAAATCAATAATATAATATAAATCAAATAAAAGTTTATTTTTCTCGAAAATATTCTATTCCCAACTAGAATTTTTCAATGTATATGACATACCTGAGTTGGTAACTGAGACAAAATAGCCAATTTTAATGCATTATTTTTAGAATGTTTGTCAGTATTCATTACAAATGTATGTAACGATTGTTTGGTGTTCAATGATATACTAGTATTATTATTATTATTATTATTGTTTAATTTTGTTTGATCCATAATTATATTCGAAGTTTTTATTTTCTTTGTTAATGAACCTATTTGAGTTGTTTCATCATAATCTAGTTTACGTTGCATAATAAAATTATTTTCTTTTTCTTCTTTGACGTAAATGTGTACGAATGCCTTTTTTCTAAAGGTAACAGAAAAAATGTTGTTCTTTATAAAGAATGAAAAAAAGTACTCTTTTTTTTTGCGGGCCTTTGTTCTACATTTATTGAAGTTTAGAAGAAGAAAAAAAAATAGTGCATACCTTTAAGTAATGCATAGTTATGAAAAGTGCATTGAGAAACATTCGAATGTAATATGTCTATGCTCTATTGATTCTATCTACATTATTTTTGCGTTTTTCGCATATTTTTACTTATATTCTTTTCTTTATTTAACATAATGACGGATTAATGCTATATTTATGTATACATACATGTAATCGTACTCATAGAAGAGTAAACCTCGTGTTTGATGTGTGAAGTAAGTAATAATAAAAGAAAAGTCAAAAAAAGAGAAAAAAAGATAATTGTTAGTGCGGCAATATTAAGACAAAGTATATCAGGACGAGAAAAGAAATTGATGAGTTAATGTCCTATGATAAATAAGACATTTGAGTTTATTTAGTTATAGCAGAAATATATTCAAATCTTTTTATTTTGTATGAAAAATATTTTTTTTAACATACTTACCTATATGAATAATTAAAAATATAATAATTTGATTTTCTTTTACACTATTCGAACATCAAAGAATATTACGATGACCTTATGAAATTGTACCAAAGGTACATTACTGTAATAACAAAAAAAGAAATATCTGTAACGTTATTTATAACATGTCAGCAATCAATTTACATCTATAAAACAAAATTACAAAGAAATCTAAATATATATTCAAACATAAATATAATTATGTCACTTCTAATTTTTTCAAAAAAAACAAAAGTCGAAAATAATACATTTTACAATATTACCTCAGATGTAGATGTCTAATATCTACAAATACATACACATACATATGTATATATTAGTCCTATAATAGTACAAAATCAATACTCATCTAAATTGTCATATATAATTGCTAATAACAAAAAAAAAAAAAATATTCATATCGATTTTTGTTCTTTCTATTGACTATTAGTCGATGCGCATTATAATAAAACCTCTCTCTATTTTTCTCAGCGTAATTTATCCAAAAATATCATTGTACTTGCAGTGTGTTATATGCCTAAAAAGAAAAGAATGCCGTGACATTAGCTAAGTATTATACGAAAGGAAAAAAAAAAATACTTCGCCCGATAAAAGGGAGAAACAAAAAAAAGTTACGCATCTACTGAAACTCTTTTTCTTGTTGATGAATTGCAAATAAGAGCAAGAAAAAGACGATTGAAACCAAATAATATCAAGAGAATACTTTTTTTTTTTCTAGAAAATATGAAAAATATTAAATTAGAAAAAACCTACACATTTCCTATCATATAATTAAAAAAAACTTCTCGTCATCTCTTTTCTTAATTGGGGGCACAGGAACATCTGACAATTTTTCGACTATTGTTTTTTATTGATAAGAAAATTCATCCTTCTACTATTCTATTTATCAACTATATATCCGTATTTAACAATAGACAAAGACTTATGGAAATCAACAAATATTTTTTTTTAATGTCTATTCGTATAAAAACATATTAGATATGTATTTCAATTTTGAATACACACATATTTTATCTTGGTAAGATAAAGTACGTCATTATTATGACGTTAACATATAAAAGAAAAAGAAAACTGAAGAATACTTTTTGACAAAGTTTGTCAAAGGTAAACAGGAACTATGAAAGAAGTTCATATAAACAAAATATAAAATAGTTCTTATCATTTATAAATTAGATTTTTTCTAACAAATAAAATATGTTCTATTATTGAAATGTATATTAAAATGCATATTTTTTAGTTTTAATTTACAAAACTACAAAATAAATTTAATGTTTATTTAAAAAATAGAATAGATTTTTAATTTATTAGAATCCTTACATTTGTGAAAATCAAACAACATCTCATATATAACTTAGAAAATGCTTTTTTCTTTTTATTGTACTATCTATTTCCGAAATAATCTCTTGAATAAACTACCGAGAAACTATAACTATATATAAAATGATGTGAGATTAAACAGATATTCTCAATCAATTGACATTTTATATAAATGCTCTTTTACGAATGTATTGAATAAGAATGAAGAATTGATGAATTTATAGTTTTGATTATCTACAATAGAGAATAATTCTAGTTTTATCTTTAATCAATTAGATTTCATCAATAGTATGACATTCAAAACTATAAAAATTAATTAAACAAACGGAAATTTCATTTATTATTTGAAAAATCCCTTAAGACATCCAATGACGTATTCAAAGTACATGTGATTATAATAACAATAAATGCTATATTTACAATTAGATAAGACAATCGATGTAAGTATGTTTACATAATCAATGACTATAAAGATTCTATTTACCTTCATCAATAATAATTCTTTTATGAAACTAAAGTAATTAAGTTTTATTCTTAGACAACTCACTGCAAATCCAATGACATAACTCTAAAGTATTCTGTTCGTTTTTTTCTTGGTGCAAACGTGTTTTTCTGCTTATAATACTTCACTCAAAGTATGACATCGTGGATAATCATCAGTTTTATTATGTCTAATGATATATATCATATATTAAATAAAAAATTATTAAAACAAAATAGTCCTTAAGAGCTATCGAGTAAAAAAAAGGAACAAATTTGATCTGGCAACAAAAAATAATAAATACCTGGATGTAGACTTGAAAAGTTCTTGTTGACCTCTGAGACTAAAATAGAAATACTCATTCTATCTATAATACTTATTTATGGAAAAAAAAAATAATTGGTATGAGATATATTAAAAACAGTATGTTTTATTCGTTAGTTAGATATTCATATTGACACTAACAAAGCATAATATATCATAGGAATATTATTATAGTCCATATGTTGTACCGATATATATATGTTGTGGTCAAAATTAAAATTTAGTCAAATTTAAAATTTGCCCAGTCAAAATTAAAATTTCAATTCTGCCTAGGCAAAATTGAAATTAGAAGTTTGCCCAATGAATTGTTAGTCAGAATTGAAATTTTAATTTTGACTGGGCAAAATTAAAATCGTTCTCTAATTGATAGAAGAAGATGAATATAGTGTGTGGGATGAGAGTATGAGTGACTGTCAGAGCTTATCGGGTCCATTCGGATCCGGACTCATGCTCGCTCAGTCTCGGGTAGGATCTACGTCTGAAAAGTTTTCAAGTTTGCCGAGCCCGAGTTCGATTCTGGATTTAGAAATTCTTCGACCCGATAGATTACAATACAGAGTATTTTAAAAATCATGATCACATTGGAAAACTAAGTAATTTCACTCCAGTGCAGTCTGAAGAGCTCACTTTTTGCGTAATTATGAAAGAATGTTTGAAGTCCGTATGACCATGAATGAAACTTCCTAGAAAACTTAAACCAATCAGTTTTGGGTTCGAGTCCCCGGAAGCTTCAATCAACCAAATTCGGATCCACAATATCTTGGACTCGGTGGACTCTAATGATGTGAGGATGAGGATGTGAAGAAGAGCTAACAAAAGAAGCAACATCCACATCGTCACCCAAACGTTTTTTGCTCAACCAAACATCTTTCAAAAGAGATAGTTGTTCTTATAAATTAAATAAAACTAGGACTTATTTCATCTTTGCCGAAAATATTTCCAAATTCTTTTGGATTGAGCTCGTTTATTGTGTCACTCGGAAGTGCTTACAAAATATTTCCGAATAAAAAAAATTGTTATACTCAATTCTTTATCCTTTATTATCTGCTTCTATTGATTAGAGAACGATTTTAATTTTGCCCAGTCAAAATTAAAATTTCAATTCTGACTAACAATTCATTGGGCAAACTTCTAATTTCGATTTTGCCTAGGCAGAATTGAAATTTTAATTTTGACTGGGCAAATTTTAAATTTGACTGAATTTTAATTTTGACCACAACATATATATATATATACATAGAATGAGAGAGCTTCCTGAAACTTATAATTTGATATATAAAACAACTGAAAAAATCTAATCAAACCTTCAATTAATAAAAAATAGAACTCATAGACATCAGGAAAATAAATCAATGTTATTATATCATATATCTTTAGAACATCTTAAAACGACTTTGTCAATAAGATTGTTGTAGATATAATTTATTAAGAGCTAGTGATTTATATTCTAGAATAAGATACTATGACAATGTGTCATAACAAACGTCACTACGACCTGAACATGTATAGAACTCTTGATGGCATCATAATAAATCATAATATCTCATGGCATATATGATCATTGTTTTCAACCGGAAAAATTAATATTATGTTACTACATATAGCAGTTTGATTCGATTTTTCTTACAAATATTGTAGGTATCTTTTCATAATTTTAGCGTATTTTAGTATATTTACAAAATTTAATTCATCTATTTTATTAAAATTAGATAATAGGATAGAATACTGAATTTCTCACTTTAATATAATTTATTTCTTTTGATATACAACATTAAAATCTATCAGTACTAATTGAAAGATGCATTTTGAAGATCATCTAAGATTAAATAGGACTTTTCAATTTATTCCTTTGAATCTTATTCATTTAGATAAATTAACGGAAATAGCTAATCTATAATAAGTTGCATATCTGATTTTTTACCTTATAATTGAGATATTCTTGATTGTTTATATCAAATAATCTTTCATAAAAGAGTGAAGAGATAAGTTAATCGAATGAATCCGTATTACTTTGAAAATGACTAAAACCATACTTTTATTCATAATGAAAGTAAACATTTGAATGTTAAAAAAAATTATTATTTTTTTTTTTAATTTCTGTTTGTTATTTACGACATTAGAAGAATTCTTGCGTTATTTTTATCAAATGAACAAATACACGACGTAATTTGAGCTTTGTTGTTTTTCCTTCTAGACAAGAAACAATTATACTTTCTATGATTATTATTTAATGAGTAATCTTCTCATTCATTAGC